AAAGTAGATAGGATACATTAATGCTAACATCTGTTCTGAAAGGTTATATATTTCTGAGGAGATAGAAAGTGAAAAAAGGATAAAAATAGCTTTCTGGGACCCAAACAAAAACTTAGCTTATAAACTTAGCTTCTGCATTACCTAGTGCAAACCCTCTATGCATAAAAGTAGAGGTTTAGATTACTGTTGTAGATTCCTAGCCACTCTACATAATAGTAAAGCTGATTTGAATTCTCTAATACAGGGGTCCTGAAGTGGGTGCCAAAGTGCCTATAGGAGGCCTGCAGTGGCATATACTCTTCCCTCCCTGCCTCCTACAAAAATAGGTTTTAAAAAACCTTGAAAAGTATGAGGACGTTCTTTCTCTCCCTTTCAAGCCTCCAGCTAGTTCCATTCTTTCTTTGCCTTTCTGTTTTGCCCTTCTTCCCATTTGCTACCTCACTATTTCTCTCTTTACCTCTTTAGCTCACTTTTAACTAGCCAGGTCCCCATGGTAGGCATTGTATGACTAGCCACACCCTCTGTGGAGTCATTTTATTGTGATACCCAAGGCAGTTTCTGAAATACCCGTATATGCTGACAGGTTCAAAAAGGGTTGGGGACTCCATTTGGGCTGTTAGAAGCACAAAACCAGTGTTTCCAGCAAAGAACAAGAAAAACCATGGAAGGTGGAATAGCCTTTCTTTAGAACTTCTATATCATTATTGTCTGAATAAAATATAGCATTTTCCCTTAGCTTAGCATCTCAAATGTATTTCTCATAAATACATACATCAAGCTAGCATGTTGAATCGCCTTTGATAAGCTGGAAAGGCATGGGCCTGCAGCTGGATGGGTGATCACATGTGGAAGGGGTGCAGGGGATTGAACTTGATGGCATTATTGATGCCTTCCAACTTTATTCCTCCCCTCCCCTCCCCTCCCCTCCCCTCGGTAGATAAAATAAAGTTATATTTCAGTTAAAGATTTGGGGAAATTTAGGTCTTTGTTTGAACATTTCATATTACTAGTACTGTAGGTTTTTAAATAAATGTTATTATCAGGTAATATTAGAAAAAGTTAGGACACATGACTTTTATCATAAAATAGAATAGTGAAGTTGGAAGGGACCAGAAGGCCACTGGGTCCAGCTCGCTGCTATTACAGCACACTAAGTTTCACCATCAAATGACTGTTTCAGACACTTTTTGAATGTCTCTGGTGAAGGAGTCCACAACTTCCCCGGGTAGTAGGTTCCATTCATTATGATAGAATGAAGGGGATTTTGTCTTCACTTTGAGAAAATATTTTAAACATTTAGTTGCATCATGTCTCAAAAGTAATTCTTACATATCTATTTATTTTAGTGGCAGCGAGTGATTATTTTTAATTTTTAAATAAATCGGATGGGAAAACACTGAGCTTTAGAACTTCATCTGAGTTGTGCTTTAAAAGCTTTCTCTGTATTTCTTATACTTTCTTGTTAGGTTGTAGAAGGAAAATGCAAAGGTGAAATGATACTTTTATTTAGAGAGCTTGCTATGCAGTATTATGTTTGGTTATCTTTTCACTTAAGCAGTTCCTAAGGTTGCCACTTTTTGTTAACAGTGCTCCTACCCTTTTAACAGCTGCAAAATAAACAGACATTTTACAGGTGAAGCCCTCCTCTAACACTACATCAATTAGGAGGCTTGATTTTTTTCTCTTATGCAGTGTATTCAAATATTCTTTGGAGTGTTTATAATAGGAAGTTCTTTGAGACAGGCTGTGAGGCAAATAAATGGAAAGTTTTTCTTTAAAGTTGGTATTATGTTATTATAATACTGGTTTTGTGTGCAGTAAAAACTGTAATATCCAACTATTTTGAGGTTGCATATATTGATCTCCATCTAACCTAATTAACCTATGCGCAAGTCCCATTGCAACAAGCAATTTAAAAATGAATTTAAAGCATTGTTACTTCCACAGAGGCTTGCATGCTTTTAATATTGGAATGGGACCATGAAAAACAACTTGGAGATCATATAGGTTTGTAACTAAGAACTTGTTTCAGGGGGTAACACACCTCTATTCAGCTGACCAGGTGTTTCTATTATAGCTTTCTGTCACCTAGAAGGCACTTTTGTGCCACTTTCTCACATGACAGATCTGAGAGGGTTGCCTGATCCTGTGGAAAGATGGAAAGAAGGTGCTGATTGGGAGTTGTGTGTACGTGTGTAAGCTCAAGGTAGTATTCTCTAATTAGGCTTTAAAAAAATTGCAATACTCTAAACACTTCTAAACTTTTTCTTTTTGGTCTCATCAGAGTCCAGGATTGCCCCAAATAAAAATCTAATGATGGAAAGGCAAATTTTTACTGTTTGTGTCTTTTGCTCTACAATGTATCTTTTGGGTACAAAGAATGGTATTACATAGTATCATGATGTGCATGATGCTTTTCAAAACATGAGATGACAGTTCTGTGTGTCTGAGAAGCTTTCAATCTGATATTTGGCCTGGGGAAATAACAGTGACAGGAAAGGAAGACAGAAGTAGGTATAGAACATGCCTTTCATTATTTTCAGTTCCATTTACATGAGCATTTAGTTAAACTTGGAAATGGGAACTTTGCAATCCTAATCTTACTTCCTGGGAGTAAGCCTTACTTGAATATAGTGAAACTTGCTGATAAATAAACATGCATAAGGTTATTATATTTCTGTCAAAAGCTTCATGGAAAGTAGAATTTGAAGTGAGGGAGAAGCAATATTATTTAGATTTTTCAAGGGAGTTCTGGTCATAAGGGGCAGCAACAAAGAAAGACCAGTCATTTCAGAGAGCAGGAGAATTTTGGACAGTTAATGGAGCTGGGGAATCAGGTCATGATCAAGATATATTGGGCTGTCTAAGAGGGGCAAAGCTATGAAGGGACAATAAGATGGTGCCTGATCTGGGAATGGTTGGAAAGTCAGTGGAAGTCTCAGTGTTGCACATACTAATTGGAATGGAATACCTTGGGCTTAAAAGCAAGAGCTTTGGACTAACTCATGTTTCTCTCATCCAAGATACTGTGTGTGTGTTTGAATGAGTGAGAGTGATGGTGGGGGGCTGATATCTTCATTGTGGAAGGCAAAAGCCATCAAACCATATGTTTAGCAGGCAAGAAAACTAATTGCATTTATATTCTTTCTGTGAAACCTCTGCATTTCCTCCTTACCTTGTCCTTTATAAATGGCTTTTTAATTTACTGTAGTTGATGTATTGTAGGATTAGGAAAGGAATGGAAAACAGACCATACTCCCCTTGTACAAGACTTTGCTGTGACTGAACTTAGAATACTGTGTACAGTTCTGGTTGCCTTTCTGGAAAAAGGACATTATATGGAATTCACAGGAAAAAGTGATGACCATGCCTTTGGGTGGCTTTTAGAAGGAGACTGGACAAAGTAGTTGGGTAGAAGACTATCTATGGTTGCTAACCTTGCTGCCTATGTGCTAACTTTGTTATCAGAGACAGCATGCCTCCACAAACTTGTTGCTGAGGAACTTGGGCTGAGGAACTCAACCTGCTTGAGAGAGCCTGGTTTGCCATGTGTGAATGGAATGCTGGATTGGATGGACACTGTGTCTTACCCAGCATGGTCTTTCTTACATTCTTATGAGCTTTCTTGTATGATTTGGAATAGCTCATGTTCCAGTTGCTGGCTTCAGATACCTTATTACCTGTGACTGAATGTATTACTGGGCCATAAAATGTGCTGGGTTCTCTAGGATGCACATGTGACTCAAGTCCTTTGAGACATACATGAATGGGGAGACAGAGTCTGTTAAAGAAGTAGAAAGGAGTAGCCAGCTGGTAGAAGAGAATGCCAAAAGTGAGCCTGGTTTTGTCCCTGAAAACTTTTATTGAAGAAGAAAATTTGAAGAAGCAGGATTTATAGAAGCAACAGCAGAAGAAGAAACAGGGGGTGTGGTATGGCTGAAAGGTGTGGACAGGAGAAAGGAGAAAATAGATCTGAGACTTGCATGAAAACTGGCAAAGTCTGATAGGTGATAATTATAATATGCTACTCGTTTGGGAGTATCATTTGGGATTTTTTTCCTAACTGGGGGAATGTTAGAACTGATGTCTAGTTAGGCCAGGATTTGGGACCTAATTTCTTGTAAGAAAACTGCAGTAATGTTTTGAATGCTTCCATTTTTCTGTAGTTTTCATATTGGGAAATTGGTGTATCAAATTGCCTGGGAATTCTCTGTAAATAGCAGTCCAGGATAGAATATGGTCAGCTTTTGAATAGCAAAGTAATTTTCAAGCTGAGCTATTTACACAACGAAACAGTAGCAGACATAGTTAAATAGTTGGACAAATTGGTGACTTTCTTGGGAACTACAGAGAAGCTGAAATAAGACATGCTCTTATCTGGGGCAAAATCTGTGGAAATTGGAAGGAAAAAACCAGTCAATAGAATTTCCTAATTGTCTATTAGGTATTTTGAAAAACTGTGAAAGAAAGCCAAGGAAATAAGCTGTTTTATGACCTGAAATACTATCTGGGGTAATACACGGGACAATATAAAATGTAGTGGGGTTGTTTACACCCAAGAAAGAAGCAGCAAAAATTAAAAAACCTTCCTTCTAGAAAGGCTTGCATGAAGAGATGTCATTATAACTGAATGACTTAAGTGTTTCAACAGTAAGAAAGATTTTCCTACCACTGCTTCATATGTATGTCCACTGATTTTAATGGGAATTGAGAATTGGTGCAAGATTACAATATTTTAGGTTGTTCTTATTTTTTAGAAAATTTATTGTTTTATTTGTATTTGTTGTTTACAGATTAGGATAGTAGCTTTACAAAGGTGTATTCCAATCCTATCCTGTCTGCAAACTATGATAGGCTAAGGAATGGATTATATACTTGCATTGTTTCAGAAAATGTTGAAAGTACATGCAAATAATATGGAAAAATATTTGATATAGTTGAAATTATTCTATTTGCATTGTTAAAAGCATTAAGAATAAAATACAATTAACTTTTTATAGGTTGGGCTCATGTGGTTTGTGCTCTGTACATTCCCGAGGTGCAGTTTGCAAATGTTTCTACAATGGAACCTATCGTGTTGCAGTCTGTCCCTCATGATCGTTATAATAAGGTATAATTCAGTTATGACTTGTTTTCTTTGTATATCTTATTCAATAGTGTTATATTTCTCATTTCCTTTTGTAAGACAAAAGTAGTTTGCTTTGTAAAAATCTTGTGCTTCATTTCTTTTAAGTATTTTACATGAAAGTAAATGAGTAAACTTCCTATATTACCAAAATATATATTATAATAGAAAGTAATATTTGCTTAGCTCACACTTTTAAGCATCTATTGAAACATCATATTTTGCTTCAGAGTTTTAAGGGTGCAATCCTTGCACATTTAGACAACAAAAAAGGACTTTTAAAATGTCTAAACATGCATAGGATTTTGCCTTAAGGTAAAAGGATTTATGTTTTATCATTTTTCAATGTGTTCAGCAAAGAGAACTTGTCATACATTCCTTGCTAAAGAAATAAAAATTCATAATCTAACTGACAGTAGAACTAGATCTCATTTTTTGCTTTTCATATTTTGTACATTTCTTTTTATATAGTAGTATTCATCGTTCCTTTCCTTTCTGTCTAGAGAGAAGCATCATTGCTCTACTGTCTTGGTAGTAAAAGCATCAGTGTGACATCAGTAGGAGCCCTCTTCCTCTCCCCTAATTCTATATAATAGTCCTATTTATAAAGTAGAGGACTGGGGCCATGTAGATTTCCTTGTGAATTCCTCAAGTTGGGATCATACAGGTTTAAGGCCAAATGGCAATATCATAGTGTCGAGATCAAGCATTTCAGACCTTTATGTTGATGGATATGTGATAGTCCTCATGAAAATGTCACAGAGGCCGGGTGGAGGCAGACAGAGCATACCAGTATGACATACCATCATACATTTGAACATTTGCTGGGAGCCACAGCATTCAACCAAAATGCATGATAGGCTTTTCCAACTTGGTGCCCTCCAAAAGTTTTAAGATATAACTTCTAGGGTATTTGGCTGTTGGCCGTGCTGGCTAGGATTGATGGGATTTGGTCTACAACATCTGGAAGGTACTGGGTTGGGGGACTCTGGCATACCATATTAATTATATTTCATTTCTGTACTGCCCAGTAGCTGAAGCTCTCTGAGAGGTCATTTACTATAAATATAGTAAATAAATTATTACTATATTTATTATATTTATATCCCACTTTTTTTTCCTTTCAAGGAACTCAGGATGCCTTACACAATTTTCCTCCTCCCGATCTTACCTCCACAATAACAACGCTGTGAGAGATGTTTGGCTGAGAGTCTTTGCCTGGCCCAAAATCATTCATGGCTGACTGGAAACTAGAACCCAGATCTTCTGAGTCCCACGCCCACACTCTTAACCACTGCATTACACTGGCTTTTTCACTCCACACTGGTTTATATCAGCTCATAAAAACAATACAATAAAATTCCATAACATACTTTAAAAGTAAAAACATTTCAAAACAAAACATTAAAAACAGCTACAACAACATGCAGTGAGGAGTAGCTGTGTAAAAACACCTAGGATTCGCTCAAGCCCTTGGATATCCAAGTATATGCTTTTAAAGTTTTGGAATAAAAAGCTGTCTTAATTATGGTGCCAGAAATGACAGAGTTGGCTCCAGAGAGCCCTCAGTGGGTAGATCATTCTGTAGATGAGGGGCCACTATGGAGAAGGTCTTCCGTCTTGTAGAGTTAGCATTTGGAGGAGAGCCCTAGATATTGTATATAGTGTCTGAGTAGATTGTGATACGAGAGGTGCTCCATCAAATATTCATTTATACTCTCTATTTCTTATTCCATGATATTCCCCCTCCCCTCAGACACATACTTCAGAATTGGATGCCAGCACATTTTATCAAGGAGATAAAGCATGCAGATAAACATAGTTCAGCCCCTGTTGAATGTTGTTAGATGCACAGCACAGGGAGGATATGAACACATTTAAACCTTGCTTCTCCTTTTACCATTTGCTAGTAAAGTAACTTCCTATCAAGCCTGCATTATGTACCAATTATCTAAGATGTCAAATGTCAGAATTCTAAAATAAGGCAATAGAAAATAATATTTCACATAAGCCAGGTTTAAAGAACTGTGACATGAGTTTCATGCACTGAGAGAAGAATTAGCCTTGGGGGGCGGGGATTGTAAAAGCAGAAATACATGCTGTATGACAAACTGCTTTAGAAATGGAAGACAATTTTATACAGTATCCAGTTGTTCAAAGAAAAATAAATTCTACTGAGCTAGTTTTACTGCACAAGACTGAAAATCATTTCCAGCCAAATGCAATTCTCCCCACTCCCAATAATTATTAGTGGTTCTTCAAATAATTCACTATTTAGCTTTGTTTCAGCTCTTTTGTTATGTTCAGTGTTTGGTGATTTCCATTTCACATTTTCTCCTTGTCCTTTTTCCAAGACTGCCTTTTTTAATCTTCCCCCAACACATTTTCTCTTTCCAAGTGAATTTTGATAATGAAAATCATGTGAGAAGCATTGTAGTCATGTTATATTTTCCTTACATATAGCTGTACTTCTATTTTTATATATACTCATCCCAACTCAGTGACAGTGATTATTCCAGGAAAGCAGAATTGATTGCTCTGCATGGGAGTCCAGGAGCTGGTTGGAAACTATGTGTACCTCATCTGCACTGCTAGCTTTGGCAGTTTTGATAACTTGTTCAGAGTGGGGACAGAATCTAAATTCTGCTTGTACACTGCCATACAGGTGTGTAGTTAGCTCTGTAAAACACCAAAGAAATTTAAAATAAGTTCAGAGCTATATACATCTATTAATCAATTTTGATAAGCACTGGTCAGTTGGACAGAGCTGCACAAGAAGGCATACAGTCCACTACTGTATGCACACACCTTTGGATTTGGCTATTTTGGATGATCTAGAGATCATAAAGATGCATGATGTGCTTGTGGTTTCACAGAGTATTTTTCTAATGGAAACTGATGGGGGGGTTAAAGGTATTTTTACCTCTGCGTCATTTTAAGAATATCAAAGATTATGGTGGAATGAATAAAAGAGCTTGTATATTTTAGGACAGGTTTTCATGTAAGTTTAGCTTCATATGTTATGCAAATTAGAGGGGATATGCCTATATATACTGGGATAAGCAAACTGTGGACCACATGCAGATCCTGTACCTCCCGGGTACAGACACCATCTTCTCCTTGAAAAAAAAAAAACTGTATTAAAAAAGGTAAACATGTCATCTATGCGTTCTCCATGATACGAAAGAAACATCCCCATTCTTTGATAGTACATATGTACTCAGGGTTTCTACAGAGCATATGTAGTTAATTTATGTATTATATCAGCTTGCAGTTGATTTATGTACCATAGCTAATGGGTATGAGACAAGACATATAGCATGGGGGTGGCAGGATAATTTGTATATACCTGAGGAATTCTGGGAAGTGAGGTTACCATGAGCAGCAGAGGATTTGGACTTTGACAGACTGACTCAAGACAGTGGCCTAGGTTCTGAGATGGCAGGGATAATTTACATATACCTGAGTAATTCTGGGAAGTGAGAGGAGTTCACCCCGAGTGACAGTTAAGTTGGCTTTTGACTGACCGGCTCAAGACAATGGCCTTTGTGCCTAATGGCATGTGAAAAGCAGTAAAACTACTTAGTGACCTTCTCCAGTAGTGACTGGAGTTAGTAGTGACCTTCTCCAGTAGTGACCTTCACTTCTTTTTCTGTAGCACATATGAATAGAAAGGAGTCTCCAGTAGTGACCTCCAAAGTGTATGCAGTGTTTGTATTCCTTCCTGAGATTAATGTGTACCTGCAACAAATGCAAGCTAGTTACAGTATTGGAAGAAAAATTCTGAGTGCTTGGGCAGTGGATGCCTGCTCTCTAAGGAGTAAGAGAAAGTGAAGAGTCCTTGGTCAGATTGATGGAACTGTAGGAACAGCAAGAAGCACTAGAGATGGAAGATCAGCAGCAGCTTGAAGCAAATATGGAGAATGCTGAGTTGAGGAATACCAATCCAAAGGAAACTCCCTGGAAAAGAGTAACAGTTAGGAGCAAAGGAATCTAAAGACAGTCTGCACCGGTGAAACCACTAAAGCTAAGTAACCATTTTCAGCTGCTGAAGTGCAGTTTACGGAAGAATTAGGAGGGAACCTGTGCAACTGGGAGCAAGAGGCAGAAGGTGATCAAGAAGAAAAGGAGAGTAGTAATTGTGGGGAGATGCTTTTTTGTGTGGGATTGAAACCCAAGTGTACTGTGATGACCAGTGGACTCACCAGATATGCTGTCTCCTTGGAACTTGGATTAGAGACATGTCCAAAATATCACCAAAGCTCATAAAACCCACTGACACACATACCTTTCTTCTAATCCAGCTGGAAACAAATGATATTGACAAATGGAGTTTTAAAAGGATAACGAAGTGCTGGGAAGGAAACTCAAGGACTTTGAGGCCCAGATAACTTTATCATCCCAGTACTTGGAAGAAGAATAGAATGAGAATGAAAAATACTTAAGGTGAACCGCTTAAGGTGGTGTCAACATGAGAAATTCTGGTACCACAGGCTATATACTACTTGGAAGATGGACTACTAGCAAGGATGGGTTGCTCCTCTGCATAGCTGGAAACAATATGTTTGGCCACAGCAAGAAGAATTTTCTCAAGAAGACATTAAACTGAATTCTATGGGGAGGGAGGCATGAACTTGGAGGCAACAGTGGATGAAAGCTTATACACCATAATTCTAGTAGTGTCCAAAAATAGTTTTTACAATAATGTATGAAAGGAGCAAGGCCATGAAGTGCAAGGGCTCCAATGCCCAGAGTATGGGAAACAAGCAACAAGAACTTGAACTCTTTATTCATGAGGGCAAACATGGCTAGGTAGTGTTACTGAAACTTGGTGGGATGATTCCCACGACTGCAATACCTTGTTCAAAAGGAACACAAGAAATAGCAAGACGTAGTTGCATTATATGTTAACAATACTTATTCCTCCACAGAAATATAGAAAGATGAGCCTGGTAGTCCCATCAAGAGTATCTGGAATCTGTCCC